TGTCTGACGGTCGCCTACCGCAGCGCGCCTTATTCGCAGTAGCGGTTGCAGGCTGGAGAAAGCCACGTGGAGGCCAGCAGATGACATGGAGACGAGGCATGAAGAAATGCTCAGAACGATTAGGTAGAGTAGCTGTGTCTCGTCTTCTCGGTCAGCATCCAAAAGACTCCGTAATTGGATGGTTGGAAGCACTGACGGTCATGATAGCAAACTGACGACACTAGCGATCTTGCTGGCACTTCTTATCAGACCAGAATGCATGAAGTAGTATGTATGCACAGTTGGACTCTGTGTACTCTGTGTGTTGACCATAGAAGTTCACTCTTTTCCCGTCCCTAAAAGTAAGTCCAATTTCCGTCCTCCGTACACATTCTCACTTTGTATGCAGTATGAATTTGGCAACCATCAGTGAATTTAGCTTCACTGTATTGCACTGTACTGTGATGATGTTTATGAATCCCAAATTTTTAGAAGTTGCTGCTTGATGAATGTAGATAAATGTTATCAAATGAAACATAGGCCCGTGTAGACGAAGGATGCAACTTATAGGCTGCACCCGGGCTCAATGACCTACCTGTTTTTGACATGGGCTTCGTTGAAACCAGTGTAGATCAGTGAGTTCGTAAAGCACTTTGCGTAATGTTTCTGAACGTTCATTTTCACCTTTTATTGTGGAGGAATAATGTTTAGTTTACTTTTCTGCTGAAAATGTCCAGTATTCTTTGTGTGCTCCTGGTGAAAGTAATACATTGTTTTTGTCCCTTTTGATAAATTCAGGGAGACAACGAAATCAACCAACTCAATCTCATCATCAACCTATGTGGTTCTATCACACCAGAAGTTTGGCCGGGTGTTCAACGTCTGGAAGCCTACCGAGAAGCTCGTCTTCCACAAGACATCAAACGACATGTCCGCGAGAAGTTGACTCCGAAAATACCCTCCCTTGCTGCAGTCGAGTTAATTGATCAGCTCCTGGTTCTTGATCCGAGCAAACGTCTAGATGCAGAACAAGCTTTATCTCACGAGTACTTCTATGAAGATCCTCCACCTGGTGATCTACGAACCTTTTCCAAATCCGGAACATCCTATTTGGAGTTTTTGTCCTCTTCAAATAACCCTCGTGGACGCATTCAGCCGGGAATGAATCGGCCGGGTGGGGGCCCTGGAGTTCGTGGACCTCCAATGGGTCCTGGACAACCTGGGAACTATATGGGACCCCCAAACCGTCGACCTCCCATGGCAGATGATAATATTTATTACGATCGGGTTTTTTAAACAGAGACTATATGTTTGTGTCCTTTACACACACTACGTTCTTTCGCATGTATCCTTGTCTTTTTACCTCGTCCGCGGAAATGGCTGAATAGCTTGTTATATAACTTTGTAAATACATTTCTTACTTGACTCTATACTGATTGTTTTGCTAAAGTGCATCCCAAAGGAACAAGTTCCTCAGAATATCCATAATGGATTTGAAATTGACTGGTTTTGTGATATCAGTGATGGCTGGCCACTGTTTGAAAAAGTCCGATTCAGGTTATGTGCTAAAACTGGTTCTTATGATAGAGCGAATCTCCTTTCATTTTAAGTAATAACGCAATACGTATTACACGAGGACTGTTCATACTGTTTCCGGATACGCAGTACATGTACGAGGCGCTGAAGCCCGGGCAAGGAAAACGGACTGTAATCTGTGAATATTGTTCACCGATTGCAACTCGCAGAACCAAATAGCAACATCCGAGCACAGCTAACAAGTCATAAGGGTCGCTACACTCGGACTGGAATGATAGAACTCAGTCGATGCCACTGGAGGGCGATCATTTTCTACGACTACAAATGGGGTTTAAAGCAGCAGCAGAGTGTCGATCATTTGTAAACTGCCTTGGGTGATGGCACTCCTTCAAGAAGCCCTGTGTTTGAGTGGTTTGCGGAATCCAAGCGTCGTAGGCGGTCCCTGGATGATGAAAGATCGTGTGATCTACCCGTTGGGACCACCACAGCAGACAAAATTACTGCTGTTCAAGCGATGGTGGCACCGCAGGTGAGAGCCATCAGGATCAGTCCGCACCGTCCTACATGAGAAGCTTAGCCTCAGAAGAGTTTGCGCAAGCTGGGTACCCCATCGGCTCAGTGAGGAACAGAAATCAGTTCAGGTTAATTTGTGCCGCACCGTGCTTACCACGTTTAATGGTGGACGTTCCAATGCGGTTTGGGAGACCACCAGTGGTGATGAGACCTGAATGAACAATTTCGGCCCAGAGACCAAGCGAAAATCGGCCTCAGAAATTCCGACGCCAGCGCAGTGTGACAAAGCAGGTGGTGGTTGTATTCACGACCAAAAGCGGTCATGTGGCTACTGTACCGTTCATACAGAAAAACCCAGTCCATGGAAACTGGTACGCAACCCGTGTCTACCGAAAGTGCTGGAAGCTGTTTCCAGGCATCGTCCAAACCCTCGAGTACGAGAGACCTTGCTGCACCATGACAAGGGTCCTGCACACACCTTTGTCTTCAATTTTCGGGCTAGAGAACACATCCAGCTGTTTGGTCACCCGCCCTAAAGTCCAGACCTGGCTTCGTATGCCCGTTTTGTGTTTTCAAATGCATGATGCCTGGAATCCGATACGAGTCACGAAAAGCTGCAGTAGAGTCCTTCATTGAACTGGTCGAAGGGTTACCGTTTTTGCATGATCTAGCTGTTTAACCAAATGATTTGAGCGCATGGAACTGTGCATGAACGCTGGTGGAGAATACTATGAGAAAATGTAAGGCTTAATATTGTGTGACAAATAAGACTTTGTGTGCATCTGGCTTTCCGTTGTCAACCGCAAAATGGTTTGTCAAGGGTGAAGAAGTGGGTTATTTACAATTTTTGTATCAAGCCTTTGTTTAGTCAGATGATTTCGTATCGAATCAAGCTAAGCATCAAAAAGAAGAAGATGAATTTGAAGCAGTGAATACAACAGACGTTATCTTAATCGGGGAGGAACAGGAGTTATTGGATCAATTGAAGCTGTTTACTCGGAGTTCGGGCCGATTATTGGAGTGTACAATTGATTTGAACGGCGCGTTTGTTGATTTCCAAAGAAGAGCCAAGTTAAGACAAATGACAACTTAAGATTTTGCTAATAATACATCTTTGTAATCTGCAAAGTTTTGCAATTCTGTGGGGCACTCGAATGTGGTCATTTTTTGCTACAATGGTCACCAAAGCCACGGTCATTCGGTCTATCGATGCGCTCTGAAAGATAATCGCGATTGACTGGTAAGCGGGTGTGTGGAGTGAGATGTCAGATCCGAGCGATCGATAACCACCGTTGCGCGGATGCACATATGTGAATGAATGAACGATTCTCTCACTTGTCTTGGAGCTCCGATGAAATTAGACAGGTCGCTTGCCAAAGGTCATCTTAACCCGAGTCTGAGGACAGTTTGTGAGATGTACTTCTAGTTTATGAATCACGTTATGGCATCACGGGTTGAACATAGTCTGACCAACAACGGTCATGACGAATATCTCAATCGATTTGAACGTACACTGGTAACAACAAAGCAAACAAACGAATAGATGTCTACAGACGCTAATGGTACACATTTCTCACTAGAAAATTATGAATAGATTACACAGTGAACAATCAGTTTGAATGTGGGAAAGAAGTCAATGTTCTGAGTATACCCCGTAACAGATATTTCACTCATTTTAGATGTTATTTCCTTCTCACTGTATTCGAGCTAGTTTACCTTTGATTCCTTGAATGGGTTAAGAATGATGTGGTTGTTATAGCTAAAACAGTTGTATATTATGGTGGACGTCATATAATCAGTTCTGTTGTTAGCCTAACATTGCAGCGGAATGGAAGAATATCTGGAATTAATGTGGGATAATCGGGTTTCGGGATAACTATACACTTAGAACTGAAAAGGGGCTGAATACTGCACGCAATGTATCGATATCAAGCCAAGTGCGTCATAAAATATTTAGATTTCTTCGATACAAAAAGGATACGCAGGACGGCAAATCTAAATTCCATTATAAATAAACAGTGCATAATTATAAACATTGGGAACAAGTAACGGAATTAACCTTCTTTTCATCGATCCGGTTTATTTTGTCACAAAACTGTTAACCGATTTTTATACTACTTAATAGCATCTACTACTGATTATCCTGCCGTCGCAGTTCCTGGAATTTAACCCACTTTTTTGAATTCCCGAGGAGTGCGACATATCAGGAACTTGACTGTACATATGTATATTACTGGCTTCCGAAAAATGTTAAACCCGGTAACAATTTCAACGTTCCTAAGCATTTAGGATCGACCGGTTGTGCAATAATTTAATATTATTTGTTTTCACTGTCACATCGACGTAATTGAACGAAGGCCATCTTTATAACCACCCTGACAGGTGGTTATGTAAAAGTCACCATAAAAGTTCTGACATCTGAATTGATGCAATGTTTACTGAGATCTTCACATTGGTCATAAATTTCTGTGAATTGCATTATTCAAGGCATTCTCATTGGATTATACCCTTAGTATAGATTCTTGAAAACCAATCGTGCACTTGTTTCGTCAATAGTTTGTTCTGCTCTTTTTCACCTAATCCAGCGTTTCATGATGAATTTCTGTTGTATTTTTACAACCAACACCGAAGACTACGTTACCATCGCTATATTTGAATCATTTGAGTAGTTTTACGGCGTTTATTGCTTTTATCGTCCTTGATCTGAACGTTTTTACGCTGCTAAGTGGTTAACTACTCCCGAATAATTTCAAGAACATGCGGAAAATGTAGGAAAAGTATATTTAACAGATCTTCAAGTGTTATCTTCTGTTTTCCCTAAGGATAATAATAAAAGAAGAATGTAGCTGAATGGAAAGTTAAACGATATTGGAACTTCCTGAGTTTCTTGAATATTGACTATGAAATTAATGGTAAATTTGTATAATCCAACAGAAGAAGCTCGGAAATTATTGTGTGGAATCATTACCTGGAAAGGAAAAAAGTAGTTTTTAGATCGTTACTATGCGCCGCAATGCAATAAAGTGGACCTCATCAGTTTTTTCCAAAATCTATGTGCTTACACATGAAAATGTTTTGGGTACTGTTGATAATATCTAGACTTCATGGGAGAGGCGGGACTAAGTAGTCGAGAAAAAAAATCATCCGACTATACCAATACTTAGTAGCTGACATCCTAAACACTGTCCCCTCGCATTTATTCTTTGTCCCTCACCGATTGACTGCTATGTGCTTTATATACCACCCTACAATGATAAGAGGAATCCTCTGTCTTAAAAAAATCTGTCTGTCATATTTTGACCATGCATCTTGAAGAATGAGCTACTCGATCAATTTAGTGCTTGTCTGGCCTGCCTAGAATGCGGATTATTATACAAAATTAACTCCCTAGTGCTTGTTCCAGACTGGCAGGAATCTGTGCCTGTACTCCTCCTCTGTGGTGATCAACTGGAAATGGATGAGAGCTTTAAGTACCTCGGGAGTTTGACTGCAGCAGGTGCTGGTGTTGGGAGGGGATCACATCATGGATATCGAAAGCTAAAGCAGGTTTTACCAATCCGTGACGCCGCCACTACGTTTGTTCGTCCCTCAAGGAAAGGGTGTAAATCGCCGTATTTACGGTTGATATACCTGCCCACTCTGTATCGACTTTCTGTATGAGGACACCGATGCCTCCGAATCATGGCTTGATGAGGAACTCACCGGAAACATATGTTCGCCTACAAAATATATAAAAAGTGTATCGTAGAACAAATAAAAAATTGCTATTCTTGTTACTCATATTGGCTGTCTGACCATTTTACTCTGCTTTGTACCCCAACGCCCCCTGTTCTGTTATTCTTGTTGCGTTGGTACAAAGTTTGCTCGCATGCCGGTCACTATATATGTAAATTTGTATATTTACCCCAGGGCGCATTTTAGCACTCCCTGTTTTGTGCACAGTTGAGGTCTCGAATTTCTGATCATCTTTTGTGCATATACATAGTATTATAAAATATTTCATAATATAATAATATAGTATACGGTATATATGATATATATAATATACATATACTCATACAGTATTCTTTGGAGTAATTTTGAGTAAGTTATCTCACACCGGTAATGTAGACTTTCTCAGATTTAGCCAGCGTACGATGAACTATTCACTCTAACCGACCACAAAGCATTCTTTTATTACCTTATTAGTAAACCACAGATATCAGTTTGCAATGGGTCATCTATCAAATACAGAACTGTGATCACGA